CTCCAATGGGCAGAACTTCTGGATCCTTGGTGACAGCCTGCCCGTATTGATGCATTTAGAATTTGTTTATTCATCTACTGTGTTGTTTTTCTCTGTGGGTCTTGCGGTCCTCACCCGAGATTTTTATATTTTCCGAGAACAGTGCACTCCAAAATAAAAACAAAACAACCTTTTTAATTAGCTGCTGGGCTTGGAACTTGACTGTAGTTGGCCATCCAGCACTCCGGTTGATTTGAAGAGGAGCCCTATCAGGGATCTGAAATCCACAACACTCCTGGAACTGTGAGCTGTATGTGCAAATTGTGATATTCACACTTTAGTATAGAACTAGTTAATGTATTTGACCTTGTGGTTGCTTTACAACTAAAAAGATGCATCATTCAAAGGCAGCGTGTAATATGCATCTACAGTAACACTAGCAAAAAGCATAACTTTGTATCATGCCATTATGTCACTGTGGCTGGGCTACACTTTGGTGTCGTGCAAGAGCATTACTGTCACCTTATGTTTATGATGGTGCGTTTCTGTGTACCGTCAATATTAGCACAAACCTAAAAGTAGGAAACGGAGAAGAAATGAGAGAGAGTGCATATTGTGGGTTATCGCCAGTGATCTGTCTTGCTGGCCGTGTTCGCTTCTGCCAAAAATAGACGTGCCAAGTTCTATGTTTCCACTAGTGGGATTTAGCAACTGTCACAATGCTGTTCCTGCCTTTACACTTATTCAAAAATAACATCGATCCATTCCGGCAGCATGACCCTCACAATCCTCGAGTGCAAGGATTAAAGCCCTTTTTTTTGCCTCTGTGCTTGATCACGGTGACATCGGTCATCCAGAACAGCGTGGCCCCCAAGGCCCGGTGCTGATCGCGGGGCTCCCAAGGATGGGCAGAGCAGAGAAGGCTCTGGGCCGTACCGCGCCGCTGCCTGCCTCTCTGGGCTCGCTCTCCTGCGCCGAGGTCCTGCAATCCCCTTCTGTTCACCTCGCCGTCTGCCACAGCTGCTGCCACCAGGCATGCATGCTGTCACGACAGGAATGGGAGACACTTGCAGTGACCCCTAAAACCTTCCTTTTGCTCTGTCTATTTCCCTTTCCACTCACAAGTAAGAACCGAGTTATCTGATTAATTTGTAAAGGGGTGCTCCAAGCCTCCATAGCACGCTCTCAAAATAAATCAGGAGTGCCTTTCTCTTCCACGGTAGGTTTCACAGAAACCTCTTTTGATCTGGACATATGGCAAATGCTCGCATTAATATGCAGCTCTTTAAAATTCCATCTTGATTCTTAAAGCATGCTGTATCCTTTTAAACCGCCCTGTGGCCCCACTCTGATTTAGGTTTGGTTACAGATGCAATTGTAATGCACCAGGAGTTCGACTTACAAAGACACGGATTGCAGGAGGTGCAGCTAGCAGCTGTGTGGATGAGTAGCTGGGGGCTTCAGCCTCATAACTAGGAGGCGGTGCGTTCAAATCTCTGCTTAAATACCTTGGAGCAAGGTGCATGACCAAAATGATCCAGGAGGACGCACAAATGTATAAATGGCTAGAAATGGAAGTCGCGTACTGGAAAAAATATCAATCAGTCAAAATAAATCATAATTGAGGTGCCTTGCAGGCATATTGTAATAAATCACCTTTGCATGTACGGGAGTTATTAACCGATGTTTGGGAGGGATAACAACGACAAGTCAGTCATGCACAATTGTTCCTAAACACCACCATTAGCTCTATATATTGACTCCAGCATCGACTCTTGTTCAGCACTCCTTCACATTCGACTCCAGCATCCCTCCTGCAGCCCAACTCCACCTTGCTGATGCCCGCTCACACTGCATGGGGGGTGATCGTCCTTCTCCTATAGCCATTAGGCTACTCATTAACCAAGCAGATGAAGCCAAACCGATTTCACCAAGCAGTAATTGTCCCTAGTGAAGTAGCATCATCTCTCAATTCCCCTCACAAACATTATGTAAGGATAAAAAGAGTGTGACAGGTCTAGAGCAGTGCTCTTTCATAAAAGCCATTCCAGATCAAATACGGCATGGACCTCAGGCTTAAGAGTTTTTGTTTAATCTTAATTTGAAAATTATGGTTTAAGAACAGAAGACGCACACATCCAGCGAAATAAAGTGCCGAAAACTCAAGAGAGGTGCAGAGATTGGAAATCAGTCCCGGGAGTGTTTTTCCGACGCAGTCAAGCTTTCCCAGGAATGTCAGATGTGTCTGTCCCCCTTTACCGTCAGCTGTGTAGTGCTTTAAAGTGCCACTGAATGAAAAAAAAAACTTGTTAGTATTATATCTAAAAAAGTTCTATTTAATAATATTGAAGGGGTAAAGCGTATCGAATGCAAGTGTAATTTTCAAAAAAATTGCCCCTGATACATTAATCAGGCTTATTTAATGCCCATTTGGTGAGCTTGATGGGAAGGCTGCCTGTGCCTAAAGATAACTGCCTCAAATTATTGCTTTTGGGCAATAAGGCTTGTCTGAAACCAGACATTAATCAAAGCCTTCAGTGTTCTGAAAGAGCATCAAGTGCTCCAGGTAACACTGTAGCTGTAGCTTTCTCAGGCTCAGCCTGTTTGGAGATTAGTCGATTTCTGAAGCGCCGAGCTTCCACAGTTAATCAGGACTTTTTCCAAAAAGAGTTGAGTGTTTTTCTTCTTTTGCCTTTTTTTTATCCATCCTGGCCCTGCCCGGTCTCTCGTCAGGGTCTCATTTATTGGAGTAGTGGATTAGAAATCAATAAGCTGTATGGGGGGACGTGTCTGTGTTTCTGCCACGAATGATTGAGTCATGCTCAAGGTCAGGTACAGGGAATGATGTGGTTTGCAGCCAAGTACCAGTCTGTTCTGTGCAAGCCCAGAAATATATCTTAGCAATGCTTTTTTGGAGGAAATACACTTAACTATCAAACTGGGAACCACTGGCACCCAAACGAGAGTAAGCCCATTGGCCCATATAGCCCCTTTGTTACTTAGTAGATAATTGATCCAAAGAACTATCCTTTCTTTAAAGGGGTCAGGATATTGGCTACATTAACTTTGGCTAAAGAGCTGTCCAGTAGTTGTGTAGGGAAAGGGTAAATGCTTAAGGTGTATGAAACAAGATACCCAGGCAGATGAAGTCCTACAAAGTCTTGTTACCCAGTAAGTTGACTGGTTGGCTTAAATCCCCATGACAGTCAATAAATTGCAGAGAACCAGCCAGCGTTCAATGCATAAAGAGTGTAATGACAATGTGCAATATAGACCTAAACCCCTGTCTAATTATAGTGATAGTTCTTTATTTGTATTGATCTCGGTTTAGCAGCCTCTGAAATAGCATCTAACATGTGAGCATTTGCTATTAATAATGCAATGCCACAGCACTGAGCAAACAGGTGATGTGATTAATAACCGCAGTGCAGCTTGTCACATATTAATGTAGTTCTTATTGACAATAAATTGAACATGCTGTGGGTGTTGATTGATGATGGTCTGCAGTAAATGTCACTGGCTCACCATCAACAGGAATAACAGAAGGACTGCTGCAGACCTGAGAACAATACAGGACCAGGTTCTGGAGTTTGAACTGCACTTGTTGTTAAATTAATCTGCAATATTGGTGGCTACAACTACCTGTTTATTCATCTTCACAAAGCCCAATGCATGCATTGGCACAGAGCAATGTTAACAAATAATTTATGCAATGTGATTAAAAAAAAACATAAAATCAATTCAGTCGTGCATTATCAAGAAACTGTTTTATCCTGGTGAGGTGTTATTGATCTGGAGCCGAGCCTGGAGGCACAGGGCACATCCTGTAACATCCTGGGCTGGAGGCATGAACAGAGTTATTTGTATTTGTACTGTGGGGTCATACTTTGTTAAATACAGCTCCTTGCAGACCATGAAAAGCCAACAGCTCCAAAGGGGTCGTACCATACAAAAGCGATTTGTGGTTTATCAAGACAGTCAAATCATGGTAAAACCTGGTAACATATACAAAAGCATGGTTACACATGATGCTTGTTAACGAAAATGCATGTAATCTGTACAAAAGCATGGCGAAGCTGTAGCAAAACTGGAAAAACTGAAAAAGCACTATACAGATTTGCCTTAGTAAATGTTCACAAAGGCAGTGCAATAGTTCCAAATCAGACTATCCATTTGTTTTCCAGTGACTATAAAACTAGCCAGCCTGGGCTGAAATGAAGTTCTTTTTCCGTCAGACACATACTGTATCTGTTTTGGGTTGAAAAATTATTGCATGTACTTTATGCAGGGCTAAGCTCCAGGGAAACAGCCTTTGTTTCTGTAACAGATATAGAAACATTAATAGATCTCTGCATTAGCCAGTGAACTATTTTTATATCTTTTCTCTATGCTGAGAAAGCAAAGCTGGTGCAACAAATGAGAGCCTATAATAAGAATCTGGAGGGCACCTGAAAACGTCTGTTACCATCAATCAAGCATGCTGCGTTTGTTGTAGAATTAAAAAAAAACATTTTATAATTGCTTTTTCAAAGGAGGGGGAGGTAAATTATTCCATCACGGATTGACACCCCTACTGGGGTAGAGTCCTGATTCCAGGAGTGGCTCTGTGCTGTCAAGAACAGGAGACTTCCTGATAATGGATGAATGGATGGGTTGACATCTGAGATGTTTTTTTATCACCTCATGTACAGTGAAGCCTTTTGAAAATAAAATCTATGAAAAATCCACTTTCTGTAAAACCTAGCGCCTTAGAACGACTGTTGCATCACGTGGCCTACATATGTCATTTGTTTCCCTGTAAGGGGCAGGTGGATTTTAAAGAAGGGTGTGACAGCTGTCAGAATTGACTTAATGTATACGTGGGTTCAATGCCATGGCAGAATAAAACGAGCACCCGTACCATATACCATACAGTATGTATCACAGGGCATCTCCTGCATTTTAGCGTTTTGCACAGTTTGCTTACAGAATATTTGGTTGTATTCTGAGACACAATCACACCCGCCTTCTGTCTTTTGCAGATAATGTCTACAGAGAATGCCTATCGAACGGGACCTGGGCCATGAAGGGTAATTACTCCCAGTGCCAGGAGATACTAAACGAGGAGGTAAAGTATAAACACCCAGACAAACTGCACCCAGCTCACACAGGACCCTGGCAATTCCATCCCCCAGACGGCCTGATTTTCTGCTTTTGTACAATTTTCCCTGTCAGTTTTGAAGGCCCAGTTCTCCCTCTACACAAACACAAGTTTTGGACAGGCATTGCAATCAGTAATGAGCAGGGGGGAAATGATCAAAATGATATATGACAGTCAGCGTTTGACATTCACCCTTAAGTGGTTCAAACCTAGCAGGCAACAGCTACAGTATATCAGTATATCAACATACTGTAGATCTGGAAAAGGTGAATTTAAACATCAACCCATCATGATTTTTTCAAATGTTTTGAAAGTTTCTTGTTTTATGTTTAGGGGGAGGGGGGGAGTTTTATTTAAAATTGTGTCGTTCTGTCACTTCTGTAAGTTTGGAAGAAAAACAAACTTCTTTCTCAAAATGAAATGCCACTGGTTAGACTGTGGCCGAATTAATTTACAGAGATGGACTTCATCAGTAGTTCCAAAACTGTCCCCTTTCACACTGAGCAATTGTTGCGAGCTTTTGGAGAATTGGCTTTTGTTCCTCAACGCTAAGTGAAGGAGGTTTGTTTTTTCCCCTGGCATTGTTTTTTTTTTTAATGTGTCAGTTTCTGAGTTGTCACTCCTGTTCTTTTTGACAGAATTCAGATATAAGCCTCTAGAGTTTCAACCTAAAAGCCTGATGCACTAATCGGATCTCTGCTCAAGCAAAACCAAAGGTGTTAATGCAGTGGTTCTGCTCTTCCAATCATAACTGAAGCCTTCCATCCCTCTGTGTCTGAAAAATGGGTTGCAAGCAGCACCCATTTTCACAAACAAGCTTGTCTAAAGATGTGCCAGATACACTTACCTTCTAAATGTCTGATACAATATTTTGTTTTTGACTACATTTTTGTTCATCGAGGACCGGGACAGCTTTTTGGTTGCATCTGCTCTTATCCTGACGATGTGCCTTGTTTTGCATTACAAAAATATGGCATCCTGAGTGGAAACACTCAATGAGAGTTCAGGATGAGCCCTGTAGTCCAGACACCGCTTATTCATTTTGGGTTGTGTCATTAGCTGACCGTAATAATTCCTCAAAAAGTGACACAAGTTTGCAAGGGCTTCCAGAGTGGTTTAACCTTGAATAGTCTAGGGTACCTCTGTCCCCACACACTGGTGACTGTGTGACTCAACAAGGGTCTGTAAGCCGACAGTGTTGTCAGTGAGAGTAGCGTCACTGTCAGTACCAACAGAGAGGACAGCAGTTTAAAACCTAACAGATAGCAGCTGAAAAAGGATCCTCCCTTCTTCCTTTGAGTTTTGTTGTGTTTTCTTCTGTTGCTTGTGTTTTTTTTTTAAAGTGCTCTTTCCCAAACAAAGGTCTTGGCAATTAGTTCACAATGATGTGGTTAATATATTTCATTTTTTTCTGGCTTTATAAGGCCATATCAATAAGTTAGATGCTGTGTAGAAATTAGTTTTGTGGAGTGACCAGAGTATCATGTTGCACGTCTGGTGTACATACTGAGGCCATGCTCTAAGTTCTTCACATGGGAATCACGTGTGTTTACTGGAACAAAATAAACAGAGTGTCTGTGCAAGAGCTCTCAGTATTACAGGTTTCAATTAAATAGTTAATTGCAATCACCAAGGTCACAATGGTTACATATACACATGATTAAATATACAGTACACATATTAAGCTCAATTGCAATTTCTGTTTAAGAACATCTTTAATATTTTTTTAATATTTAACTTACTGTGGCATATAAAAAATTACAAAAATCAATATAGTATATATATACAAACTCGGTTGGATATTGAAGTAGCATTGAAATGAGTTTTCTAAAATTTATAATAATGTGTTCAGGATTGTGATGTGTATATGGAGAGGTGGTTTTATATTCATGTAAGTGTGCTCTGTGATGGAAAAGACTGAGAAACACTGATTTAGAGGGAACAAATGTCTTATTTGTGAGCTTTCCTACATTGCAATGAGGTGACAAGAGTATTTGAGATGGGAACTGCAAATTGCACATGACACTGGAAACTGGAAGCAATAACTCCTATTGTTCTTACCTCTCCAGCCATTATCTTTATTTTATTACTCATCATTAAATTTTCAAATGGCTCCGTTTGCTGCAGAAATGAAACTGAGCTGTGGAACTGGAAGGCCAGGTAATACTTCAGAAAATCTCAGAAGGTATTTCACCCTCTCCAGGCCACAGCTGCTGCAGGATGCCTGCACACATTGCCATCTGTTTCTAAAAAAAATGAGACAAATTAATATCTCTGTTCCCGCAGCTGGGTCTGCACACAATGGGACATTAATTGTTTGGCGGGTGTAAGCCGACATGGCAAAATATAATTCTTTAGGCAGAACATTTATAATCCCCCCACTTTCTGGGAAACGGCAAGAAAGCTCGCCTCTCATGAAGTAAAGGCACACAGGAAGTGGTCGAGAAAAGATAGCGATGTATCAGCTATGAAGGGTCTTGGCAAGAAATACAAAGCAGACGCGAGCTGCAGAAGGGTTTTGTACAATCTAGAAAAGTAGAAGTATTCTCATTATTAACTGATTTGACTGGAGCAGACTGAGTGATACACGTTGCACAAGAGTGCAACAGCAGTGCTCCACCTGAGCACTGAAGCCTACAATCTTCAAAATACGGGTCTCGACCCCTGACCACTACTCCCTTCGTCGGAGACTCTGAAGGGGATATAAGACAAAAATCTGACCCTTTACAAATGTATTAATCTACTAAGCTATTAATAACAGCTTTATGTCAGGGGATGTTCTACGAGTGCACCATTTTGGCCTTCCTGTGATGACAGTTTTTCAGTTTGTGACTGGAGATTGGGGTGAAGTTTTGTTTTAGTCCACACCATTGCAATACAATCGACAAATAATTGATTGATCGGATGTCAATATCCAAGTTACCAATTATAAAACCTAATGGGAGCCTGTGCAATACACAGGCTGTAAAGGTACATTTGAACCTGCAAATACTGAAATACTAAAGGAATAGTTTCAGACCGATTTGTACTATAGAAGATGTCATTAACATGCACTGTGTTAGACAAGGAATTCCGTCAATATTGGATAATTCTTTATCAATATTGGATATTCGTTTCTGTCATTATTGGGACAATGTAGAGAAGCAATAGAAAACCAAACAGAATGCTTGGTTATATACAGTAGCAAGAGGTGGGCAATTTAACAACACACCTGTATGACATCTTTTAGAAGAGATCAGTTTTCATCTCCAATTCAGAAAACGAATGTAGAAGCTTTACAGTTTACAAAAGAACAAGAGGATTTAACAGGTGCATCCTGAAAATAAGAGGTAATCAGAAAAATTCAATTTTATTTTAGTCTAAGTAAAGCTCTAAATCTGACTGTTGAATATGCTTCCTACTTGAATCAAAACATAAGTGGCAGAAAAAGGACCTATTTGTACATCCAGTCCTTCAGTTATTGCTTTCTATTTCCATTTACAATTCAGAGGGGGAAAATACTATTCCTAATTTCTTCAAGACTCTCCGTTTGCTTCAATCAATTTCAGTTCCAAATAAAAGAGAGATGGTTAGTCTGCATTGGAGCAGACAGAGGAGTCTGATTGTGTTTCAGCGCCAGTGGCCTGAGATACATTCAGCACTGCGCTGTTATTTGACCTAAAGGGTCATCCTGTTCTACAGTTCTGAGAAAGGCACTCAATTATATTCTCATAAAACACCACTCTCTCAGATGAATATGATATCTGTAAAAAATCAATTTAATAGACTTAATGGAATGATATAATCAAGCAAACATATGTAAAGCTCAATGTGATGAGAATATGATCCAGTTCTCCAAAATGTAATTTAGTTCTTTAATAGAAGCAGCTCTGTAAAACATTCTGGTAAAAGTCCTCTCTGTAAAAGATATAAGCATATTATGGATTCCATATAACTGAGTTTATTTTCTGAGGCATTGCAGTGTAATGTCTGCGTATGTATTCATTCAGTTATTCACTCCAACAACTGAACAGTGGTTCATTTATGGAAGTTCTTGCATTTTGTTCTACAGTTAAAAGTAATTAGCACTCTTTGTGTACCAACACAGGGAAGAGGACCCCATGCCAGCTGTTAGAGATTATGTCACTTCCTGCCTGGGTCCATATGAAGGGCTGGTACATTTACCATTCGTAATCATTAGAGAGATATTTGAGACTTCACTTCCTGTTTAAGTCTGTCTGAAAGTACCAAACTTTGATGTAACTGTCAGAGTGAATAATATTATGTAAATCAAGACTAGCAGCTCATAAACCAGAGGTAACCTTTTTAATGATACCACATAAACATCAGAGGCTTAATCACTGCCATTTGAAACCCTTTTCCTTTTGTCCCCAGCTTAGTGTCGAAGTTATTTATGACATAATTTATGGTGAGATTCTTTGAATTTTCTATCCTAGTGTATCCTTCGCTGTACAGGGTGTACCATAGTAAACACCTTCTATATTCTCGGTGGGGTATTAAAGTTCTTCACATTCTGATAAGACAATCAATCTAATTCATAGCTAAATACACACGAATGGTGTGTATGCTTAAATGGAACCCTGAAAGTAGATCATGTATGTTAAAATAGTCTATAAATGTACAATTCTCAGTTTCTGACAAGGGGAAAAGCTTACATCCCCTTAGGCTTAACACCTACTGCTTCACAGGTACTAGAATTAGAATATATAAACTGTGTAAGTCTATTTTCAGTGTATTGTATATACAGTATGTACACCATAGAAAGGCCAGATGTAGAAGGAATGATGGGATTGAGGTGACATGCAATGTGACAGCCAGTTTGTGTTGCAAGCAGAGGAAGTGAGTCAGAGTCCTACCTCGAGGTTATTTCTTAATTAGAGGAGCACAGAAGAATTTTGGAAAACTGACACCAGAGACCAGAGATGGTCACAGCTGACGGTTTCTCGAACACAGGAGCGACTTGACAATCCCCGGATTTATAGAGGAGATGATTACCCTAGAAACCCAAGCCAAGTCTCACATGTTCAATTAAAAAGTTAAAGGTTATTTAAAAAAAACACAACCCACAGAATTAATTTCAACCATCTGAGGACAGGAAACTGGCCATGACTCCATAAATCCTTGCTAGAATTGCACATCAGTGACGGTGGGTGTGAATTTTCAGTTCTTTGTGCAGAAAAAGTAGATTGGATTTCTTTATCGAGCGCTGTTACCTGAGAAACAGAAGTGTGCATCGCAGACAGTTCTAGTGTGGAGTCACTGCGACCCTATCCAATAGAAACAGGCAGGGAGAATGGGGAACTGAGTGTTTAACAAGCACTGAACCCACTTGTAATGGGAAAGAGAGATGTCAAAAGTTATCATAATTACCCCATTGGGGTGACATTGTGCTACTAAGGGAGAAGTTCCAGTCGGTTAGGGGAAAATAGATTTCCATCCTCTCTGTGGGCTTTACCGACCTCCACGCTAACAGCGAATCCAAGAGGAGCTGAAGCTTATTTTCTGACCTACTTTTCCTCAGGAGTCCTGTTTGTCTTCACACTGCATTGCAGGAATGAAACAGCCCCAGTGCCCACTTCGCAGTTCTGTACATGAAAAAGCACTTCACGCTGCGAAGCATTTTGCTAGATCCTGGCTCTTCTGGGGATGAAATTCACAATGTGTGCAACTCAGTTACACGTAGGTGTGAGCACTTAAATTTCTGTAAAAATTGTGTCACAAACAAAAGCACACAGGCAGCCTGAGCTTTATCGAAGCTTCATGTGCAATTATCATGACTACAGCATACTGGTCAAAAGATTTAAGTTACATGCTGTACTCCAGGAAAAAGATATCCTACAAGCTTCAGCACAGACACACTTCTCACTTAATCAATCTTTGTAGGGCGTGAAGTTGGATTCAGGATTCAAACTTCTGTCACAAACTTGCCTCTGAAAAAATCAATTGATTTACACTGAGACTTGTTACACATGCAGCTGAATTTTGTCCAGAAAGAGAAATTGCAGACAGAGTAAATTCCTTGGCAAACAGTACAGCCAGTTGGAAATACAGTAGCCATTCAGAAACAACTGAAGAACTTGGTTCCACTACTAGATTAGCAGGGCTTAATGACTAGCAGGCCAGAACTGTGCTTCTCATTTGGGAACAAACTTACAGGGAAAATGGAAATATTCCTCCTGTCCCCCTTTTTTTAAGAAAGCCTCTAGTAGTTTGAATGGCAAGGCTCAGTCATCTCTAGAAAACAATAGAAAACAAAAGAACTAACTGAAGGAAACAGCCCGAGGTACCCTGGATCTCTTTGCTACGTCGAATGTCATTGAAACAGGCCTTAAGTGCCTGTGACAATCCAGGCTTTCCAAAGATGGCTGGTGGAACTGAAGTCAGTATATCTGCAAGGTCGCTGTAGGAAGATATACTCGAACCTCCAAAGGGCATAACTAATAACAGGCTTGGACAACTTTATTGTCTTCCCAGGATATAAGCACTTTGAGTCTACCTCAAGGCTCAGTGCAGGAGTACATCCTGAAGATATTTTTGATATGATGCCCTGGTGGGCAAATTTACAAAGAGGTCAGGATACAGCGGTCTCAGAATGTATCCGATTTCAACTTCCTCACAGTCGGGCTATTTTTGCTCGTAGTTATTGTGCCACAAATGTTGTGATTTCTTCACTGCTGTATGACAAGAATTGTTTCCAGCTGGAGGACTCTTAAAACTCCCAGCTAGAGTAAGTGTTTGTTTCTGAAGTGAGGGTTTCTCTAGTGAGGTAAAGGACCCTTAGGCGGTCAGAGCTTTACTAAAACAGCATCAAGAGCACCTAGTTCTTGATGTTTTTACACACACTCCGTCCTCATCATTGAGATTGTAAGAGATTCTGTTCTTTCAACCAGGGCTACAGAACATTAGGTACAGATGCCGTTAGGAAGAATGAGTTACATGGCTTCCTGATGTCAAGTAATTGGTGCCCCTGATGCAACAAATACATCACTGATATGGACTAAACAAAATGTACATTCTGGACCATGTGGCTCGGTTCTCCGTCATTGCACAGGGGTCGCATTTAGCAATGTGGAAACATATCAGTTTCGACAGACATGGCCACTCACACAGAGGCAAACTAAGATCCTTCGGCACTGCATTGTTGGAACCCAGATTAATTCCAGAGTGGTTGTTAAACATTCATAGATGCCTCACAGAAAGGCAATCAAAACATCCGATGTTTTGGATGCTGTTTCTGTGACAAAAGGTTAAGGATGATGTCACACGGTCATTACCCTTCCACTAATATGTGCTGGCAAGTGTGGAGACAGTACAGTATGTAAACTGATGCTCTGACGCAGACGGCAGTGAAGATGGTATTTACTGAACTGAAGAGCTGTGTTGTTGAACGTGTGGGAATATGTGTTGAACATGTGTCCCACAGCCTTTCTACAGAAATCCAGCCATGTGACAGATTACGTAGGAGAGAAAGTAAAATGCAATCAGAGAAAAAGCTGAATGGATTGCTTGGTCCAGTGGCTTGTTTTCCCTATTAATTCCCTCCTTTTTTTGCTTCCCGCTTAAACATTCAAAACATACAGTATATAAGCTAAAACGATCACAGCAAGAGTGGAAATGATGAGAAACCAAGCAAGATCACACAGCAGAGAGGTGCTACAGAGAAGTGCTTGGACCAGGACTGTTTCTGAATGTCTGACTTTAAGGAGGTCCAATGAATTGTGTGGAATTCATGCAGACTGGAATCAGACCCTAGGTTCTTGCCCTTGTTAAAATACTGTACTTGCTTTTAAGAATGTTATTTTTGTGAGGGGAACACATAGAGGTCAATACTCTGCAATGTTAACTGAGAAAGTCAACTACATCTTTAGCAGTAGAGCCTAATGATGCGCGAGAAATAAGCGAGAGGTAGTGCTGAATTATGCACAGAATGCTTAAAGTTACAGCTAAGTGGGGGGGGAAAATTCTGCTGTCAAATTAAATTAAACATCTTCCAAATCCCAGACATTGTTAAAAAAAGACTCTACACCCTTCCCTTCTTCTACATAGTGTTCCCTGAGCAGATCTTGAGTGAGTCTATGGGTACACAGAGAATCTGCATGAACCCCCCAGAAACTTACAACAAAGTATTTTCAGCTGCAACCCTGTCAGTCGCTGAGGCATGGTTCTTTCAGGACCTTAAGAGCTGCCAGACACCCAGAGGCTGTGGTGCTGTAGCAAGTGATCTTTTTTAAGACATGGGCCTCGGGAAAAGAAATGCAGCCATCAGGGACAAAACCAGTGCTTTTTATTTGCAGTATGAGGAATCAATGCAAAGCCACCACAAAACAAAAGCCTAAGGTCCTCTTTGAGCATCTTCCAAAGTCACTGACTCCAAAACTTCACAGATTCTATCCTGCACAGTCCATGCTGAGTATCTCCCTTCTCTCTCTGGTGAGATTGCACAACCGAAGATCTGCCCTCAAAACAACAACTTTCTGCTTCCTGGTTTTTAAGTCATCACCTGACCAGTTGTCGTCTCCCCAACGTATCAGGTGATGGCAGCTCTTTCAACGTGGCATTCAGGGGAATGTGATTCGGACATGATTCTCCATCTTTCAGGACCTACTTCTTTCGTACACACCGAATGTATATTTACTTTACTTCATGGCTTTGGCCATAAAAATGAATGAAGCCATCTATTCAGACAATTCACATCCCTACAAATGCTTTATTCCTTCCGGTTCTGTTTAATAGCATTCAAGCTCCATTCAAACCTTTAAACTGGATCAAATTGAGTGGAGTTAGGCGTACTGATTCCTCACAGAAAAGTTAACAAAATGACTAAGCAAAATGTCACAAACGAGAGAAAGAAATGTAGCCCAAGTGGTTAAATTTCTCATAGTCCTATTGTATTGTATTAGTTGTACAGGGAACAATCTCACCCTCCCCCCCCAACTCATTATTGGAAATCCTCTTTAACTCCCATAAAAAAATGGTACTCAATCTATTTAGAGCAGCCAATCAAGCATAATATTTATGTTTCTGGGATTTGGGTGGAAACTAGGGCGACATGCAAGCTCCACACAGACAGGTGCTCCAGTCCAGAATCATACCTGGGAGCTGGAGCAGTGAGGCAGCAGAACAAAGTGATCATTCTGTCAATCTGCCCTGCCTCCACACTGCCCAGCTTACCAGCCGCCTCGTCTTTGTTGTCTTTTCAGAAAAAGAGCAAGCTGCACTACCACATTGCGGTGATTGTCAACTACCTGGGACACTGCATCTCACTAGGAGCTCTGCTGGCAGCGTTTGTGCTTTTCATGCGGCTAAGGTAAGTCTCATTCTCCAGTATTTCTGCCTTCCTAATTTGATCAGACCAGACCTCCTTCCTCAGAATGCTTTCGATTCACAGCGAGTGGCTGTGTGCGCCCTCCGTAACGGCATCTGACAGCTGAATGGCAGTTCCAGGCGAGGTGTTGTCAGAGAGCTGCTGAGACTTTTTTTTAGACTCCCATGGAGGTTGAGAAGCTGAGAAAAGGTTGGATCATGGTGATGGGGAGAGGGAAGGAGGGGGGTTGGCTGATGATTCTCTAAAAGCTTTCCTGCTTCTGCATTGGGCTAGCCACTCAAAAGCGATAGGGATTTTTTGATGCATGAATGATTCCGCTGTATGATATGGCTGAGCTGTCTCTGTACAGTCAAAGTGTGTCACGTGAATGACATCAGCATGCTCGGTGATGGTATGGAAATGTGGACAGCTACACGGGTGAAGAATACTGATGTTCTTCTGCACCCCAGTTTAAATATCTGACACTCAATATATTATAAGCGTGTCCCTTTTTACGGAATATTGCCTGTTTTACGATGTACCCAGACTTACCCTGTCTTGTCCCAGTCAAATGCTGAGAAACCAGTCCACTGCTTTGTTTTCTCCAGATCAGATTACTATAGACTTCAGTGCAGTCAAAATTCAGATGCCACAATTTTAATCATATACTATAAGCACATCACTCCTGTTTGAGCCTCCCTGCACTGGCTTCCTGTGACATTTAGGACTATTTTCAAAATCCTTCTCCCAGCTTTGAAAGCTCTACATATTCTGGCTTCTTGCTGCCTGAAAGACTTGCTGAGCCATAACAGAACACCCTGACAGCACAGCTTGTTGGAGTCTGGTTTGCTATGTGTTCTCATGAAAAAGTGCCATAATGTGGATGAACAGATCTTGAATATTTAGGTGCCCAAACTTTGCAATGCTCAGCCTGAGACTACTAGTCTTGTTTTTTTTAAATAAGATTTCCTGGTTTTTAATATAACTGTGCATACAGTACTTGTTTTCTTGTCTATGTTTATCTGTGTTATCATGGATTAATTGTGGTTTCTTTGTTCTACTAATTGGAAAGCTCTAAATTACCAACATTAAATGCATAATATAAAATACATATACAATTCAATTATTATGATCGCCTGTTTACACAACCCCTAATTCACTGAAAACTATTTTTTATGACAAGTAAACCTGGGTAGAAACTTATTTTTAAACAAGCTCATTGGACAATGTCCAATGTTGGAAATCTATAAACATCATGGAGCAAATATTGACTTTGACTTTGTGTTTCTTTATACAGGTCTTTATAAAATTAATTTAAAACAACTTGTCATGTGTAATCTTTATTTTAAGAAAGTCTGATGAGTATTCCCAAGGGCAACGTTTTAGACCATTAAGGAAAAACATGTATTTCAGAAACCTTTCTGTCAGATCCAAAAATCTGCTTGTAATTTTACAGTTTGATTTTAATTTAGTAGGTGCCTCCTGCAATAGAATTGGTTTCCGTAACAATTCAGCCTTGTAGGTTAAAAGCAAGATTAAGAGAGCCATTGTGCATCAGCATAGTGGAGAATTAAGATGCAAAGATAGCAAATAAACAAAAGTTACACTCAGCGATTGCTGTTTTTTCTTTTAATTATTTATTCCCAACAATTCACTTATTTGCCTAATGATGATCTGCATTGACATTTCAGGATGGGAAAATAACATTTATTGTTAAAGCTCAAATGTTCACACTTCATATTAAAATTAACTCCTAGCGAATTCCGAAGTTCGTGCAGTGTTAGAAAAAAAAGCTAAACATATAGATTTTTTATGGAGAATTAAAAATCCAACTTTGGTCATTCTTGGTTTTAGGCTTTTTTTGTTTTACAAATAAATATGTGTGAAACCTCCGCTGTCTGATTTGTAATATGAATCACTGGCCCACTGCTTAGTGCTTCTCATTTCAGTTAGACACTAAACCTCCTCTGGAATCATGTACAGTAAGTGACTTAATGTCACAACGTATAAGCACGTAAATTGATTTTCGCAGCTGCTGACAAGGAAAACGCATTCTCTAGCTAATCGAATATAGATACAAATTACAGTCACTTGACTGGGCAGTATGAGATTGTTTCATAGATGGCTTTTCATAGTGTGGTAAGCTTTTCAAGGACACCTGGCTACCACCCCACTGCCATAAAAAATTATTGTCACAAACAGCTGTTGTCTATTTAAGATATGTGTTTGAAAGCCTATGACAGTAAAGTACAGTACTTAACATAACTAACAGTGACTTGAGGAGATTGTGCTGCTATATTGGAAAGCACATTAGCTTTCATCTTATACAATAGGTCTTGTGGCTCTCATTTTCTCTATCACATCTCAATCCCATTAAAACATGGAAGAGCAGAGTTTGTGAATGGCTGTACGTCTTTCAAAAAGGTCAGACCAAATTAGGCTTTCTTTTCTACCTTTAACAGAGTTTACTGGGTCGCCTATGAGCAAGAGTACAGCAGGATGAATCAAATCTCTTTTTAAACCATTGTAAAGCACAGGAAGGTCGTGTTATGAAGCACTAAACCAACCCTGAGAACCACAGGAAAAACAAAGTGAAGCCAGGTGACCAGTGAAACACTGCTGAGCAGACATACCAGGGCATGGTAGGATTGATCCCAACACGACACATCGTGAGATGTAGGAACCGAATATGCTAAAAAGTAATTTACCGTAGAAAAACTGAAGCGTATATAGCTGAAACACGTCTCACACACTATGACAAAAAGGAACACAGCCTAGTCTGGACGGCCTGGTTGAAACCTTCTAGCAGGTTAAATCACGGGCATCTGAAATTCCTAATAACCTGGAATTCTAATCCAGCAGGTTAAATCACGGGTATCCGAAATTCCTAATCACCAGAAATTCCTGTGTAACAGGGCTCTGTTGGTATGGGTGGAGTATAAATCCTTGAGCTGGAAGGCATTGGAAACTGGGATGCAAGGCCAGTTTTCTGGCCTGTTGGGTTTGGTCTTCTGCCTGTTTGCCGTGTGGCTTTAGGGCCCTGGGAGGTACCTGAGAGAAGACAGCCCAGCATCTGTACATACTCGAGTCATCAGCGAAAAGGATTACACAGCCTGCTGCTGTCAGCCTTAGAGGTCTTTGCTTGGGTGTAAAACACCCAGTAAGATTGAAAAAGAACTCTTAACACACCCTCTCATCACTTCATTCAAATCGTTAAATAGGAATAGGCAGGAATGTGTTTTAGTACAATAGGTTTCCCTTTTGAGGTTATGAAGGCTAGAAAACAACTTTCCGTATATTAAACCTTGTGAAATAATGGACCTTGCACTCACTTCCCAATTGACGTCTTTAATAAGACACTCCTTCATTATCAATGGGTTAGAAATTAGTAGATTAGTCAATGGCACTTTGACTGATAAACACAAGGGGCTCCACCACTGTTATATACTGTACGTTAAAAAATGAATTAATGCTAATCGTTATAACTGCCCCGAGAGGGGTGTATGTATATGTGAGTCAGAGAATTTAACACGACCTGTTTAAATAATAGGGTTTAAATAAACTGTGGAAGTGCATTTAAACCTCAGAACAAGAGGTCCTTCTTTACACAAAGAGTTGTGGGAGTCCTGGCTGTTTTCATCATGGCATCGTGGCTACATGAGGTCCTTTGATCACTTAGCCACCAAGAGCTGTTGACCTTTCTTATGCTCTGTGTTTTAAATCACCTTTGTATCTCATGTTTAAACAACCCAACAAGAGGTGCCGTTCACTCTGCTCTGCACTTTAGTGGCACAATTTCATCAGGGCACTCACAGAGCAGAGTGTTGTGGAAAGTAAATGGAATGGATATTAAAAAGCACAAGAAAGAGACATACAGCATATTACAGTAATAAGAACAGCCAAGAACTTTATCTAAGGATAATCTGCTACCGGAACTACTGTGACAGGACATTCCATTGAACTGTACTTTAAGTCGAGGAACCTCCTGAAAGACTGATGCTTGCGAGTTGTTTTTGAGGTTGTTTTTTTTAGCTGTGGGCTGTTGGGCCCTACTCCAAACAATGCAGTCTTCCATGACATCACCACTTCCTTTCCTTGAACTGTATCTCGTGGGCAGGACTATCACAAACTGCGTTCCTAGAAGCTAATATGAGGGCGCGTTAGACAGACAGGTGTGGCATGCAGAGAAAGCTCATAAAAATGTCATTCAGAAGCAGCTGCTTGTATAGTCACCACCTAAAACACCGCACCCCAGCATCGTTTTCAAGCTTTCCTACAAGCAATTCAAGTCTTACAGTATTGCTTAATCACCTTATCCCGTCTGTCCCACTTCTTATCCGGCAAGCTTACACAGGAAATATCTGGGCAAGAAATCCTCTTCGTGTACAAGGCAAATGACAAAAGTCTCAAATGCCATTTCGCGTGTTGTAATCATTTTGTCTGGGACTTTATAAGCTTCTTTGCAGGCATTAACCTTTCTGGGAAAACACAGGGCATAGATAGGATCCCTAGTTTTCCTTGCAGCCTGACAGCTGTGGTCCTGTTTTTATCATATTTGTGCTGGTGTTGCTTGTGTGGACTTGTTCTGTGGAGTGTAAGCTAAGTTCTGTCACACTTAATTTACCCATGCAAAAAGAAAAGCAAAAAAAGCATTTAAAATGCATTCTCTGCAGGCAGTTTGGGCCTTATTTAGAGAGCTGTTTTCCACGGCACACTGCATTGCAATGTGCCTTAATCAGGTTTAGAAACTGAAGAATAAGGGCGCTTCACCCTAGGACCACAAAATACCATTTAACAACATTCCCTGTAATGTGAAACTAAAGAGAAGCCAATATTTCTGTGCGTTTATTTCCTTCTTAAGTCTTTATAATAAAAGACACATCAGATTTATCTTCAGTGTGATACTTTAAACACAAACAGAGACCTTTTGAGAAGGATTATATTACAATTCTGCGCATTTAACCTGATAATGATTTTCTGTGGTTCTGTGATACTCCCATACA